AAGGTCAAACTGATGTGATCAGTAAATACATCTTTTTAAACGCCACAACTTTTATCTGAAACATTTTTTTCTAAAATGCTTAGTTTTCGAGATATTTCACCGGTCCGGGACTTTTTGAACACCCTGTATATATATAACACAGATGGGCATTCGGTCTCAGCCTGCTAAATATGTTAAATATATATCATTCAATATATATATTTAAATTATCTTTCAAGATATCTTTCAGATGTCCATAGATATTTTTTAGAAATTCTACAAAGATATCTTGAAAGATTTCTTTTAAAAGAGATCATTTAGATATCTTTAATATATCTATTATAAATATGTTAAAGATATCTTTCAAGATATCTTCCAGATGTCTATAGATATCTTTTAGAAATTTAAATATTACAATTAAAAGAGCTCCAAGATTTCAATCGAATTAAATACAAAAGTGGCTAATTGGAGTTCATGCACAGTAAATGTAATGCTATAAAACAAGAAAAAGTACAAAACATTCCTTATGTTAGGAAAATGTAGTTTATTAGTTGGTGTATGAGTAACATCAGACGTTTCAGTTCATATGTGGACCCTCTTCAGTGAGAAAATATATACAAGTCTCAAGTAAAATTAAAGAATAAATTGACACTTTATACGCACACGAGACCTAAGAAAAATTATAGAACGAAGTCAATTCCGTATGTAAATGTCGAAGAATACGTTTCTGATGTCCGCAACAATCTGGTTACTCGCAAAAGCACTTAGAAAGGTGCAGCGGCCGTATTGGCTATTAATGGTGAAATAAAAAACATTTATAAAGAAAATTTATTTAAAAAACGAAGAATAATAGAGTAACCGTTGTTAAATTACCTTGAACACAGAATAGAGTTCCGATCTCAAGGTGGAAACGACACTGACACACGAAAAGCCCTTAGCCTCAGTAAGAATAACAATAAACTATTTACACGAATCGTTTATATACACGAATCGTCAATATTCGCAAAGTCGTAAGAAAGAGGAGACAATCATAATCATAATCATCTAAATAATCTGCAATAACTGTTGCCCAGATATTCTGTATCCTTATGCGAATTTAAACCTTGTTTTTGCAGTTTAATGAAAATCATTTTCGCAATAAGGCATTTTAAATAAAACCATTCATTATATAAAATTTTAACACACTTATTGAATTCCAATTAGCCACTTTTATATTTAATTTTTTTAGAAATTCTATAAAGATATCTTCAACTAATTCTATTTAGATATCTTTTAAACTTCTAGATATCTTTTGAATGTCTTGAAGATATCTTTCGTAAGATATCTTTTAGATATCTACAAGATGTCGATATTTTCTGGGTAGTTAATTAGATAAAATCATATTGCGCGATTTATCTAACAATATATAATATTTCGTATATGATTTTATGTAGTTTTATATGATATAACAATATTTTTTCTCGGGTATGCATGGAATAAAAGTATATAATTGTTGAGAATAGTAAACGACAGTAAAAGACGATGTAAAAAAAGCTGCTGCTATTAACTTATAGGAGGGTACGATAGATATAATGAATCTGTGTGTGATTGTGTGCGTGTATGTATGAATGTATGCATGTGTACGTGTATCGTAATGTGTATACCATAACATGGATCGAGCATCTCTTGAATTTACGAATTAATGATTTGCAGAGGACTTTTTCCTCAGCGATCCGCTGCTGCATGACAAGACACCGGCGAAGTACAAGAGCCATAAGGAGATCTACGAAGATGCGATAATGAAGGGATGCAGGGCGATCGAGAAGGTGCAGCAGCTGCAGGAGTCGGGCAGAGCCGGCATGGACGTTTTCTCGTAAGATATCAGCGGCGTTATTATACAAGATGTCCAGTAATTCACGGAAAAAACTGCGCTATATACACGGAAAGAAAAGATTTTGTTGAATTAACCAAATATCTCTGGTCGAATATGAACGATTCCGAAATTCCGATTGAAGTAACCCGAATTCTTTTAAGTTAACGAGATTTTTAGTAGACTAACCAAACATGTCTGGTTATTTAACCAGACATGTCTTTTACTCTCTGGTTAAGTAACCAGACATGTTTGGTTAGTCTACCAAAAATCTTGTTAACTTAAACAGAATTCGGGTTACTTCAATCGGAATTTCTGGATCATTCATATTCGACCAGATATTTGGTTAATTTAACCAAATCTTTTTTTCCATGTAGATTAGGTCAAACAGAACAAAGAATTCGTTTACCATTTTGCGAACAACCACACAAAATTTTGAGTTATCAGTCAAAAAAGACTCGTGAATAATCGCGCACTATACGATAGATGAGCTGTGATAGCGATGTTTATCGCTGTATGTTTGTATATTAGGTTAAATTGAATAAAAAAAGTTCTTTACAATTTTTCTAATAGTTCCGTAGATGTTTAGTTATTAATTAAAGAAAATTAGTGCATTATTATGTATGTAAATGTTTAGTTATTAATTAAGGAAGATTGGTGCATTATTCTGTACACTAATCTTCTTTAATTAATAACTAAACATGTACGTCATTTAAAAAATGATAGAGAATTTTTTGTTCAGTTTGACAAACACAGCGGCGTCATAGCTCATCTACCATATGGCGTATGATCATTCACGAATCTTCTTTGATTAATAGCTAAAAATTTTACATGATTATTCGCAAAATGGTAGAGTTTTTTATTCTGTTTGATCTGATTTACCTGTACACCGCTCCTCCATGAGTTACCGAATATTCTATATTTTATATGTCAGAAGTTTAAATATTTATATTTTAGGACCAAAACAATAAGAATGTCCAGGATTAAGTGCATATATATCGGCACTTTATATTTTTATATTTTTTATACAATATAAAATAATATTTTATATTGTATAAAATATTATTATATAAAATTATATTTTTTAATGAGAACCCTCGTTTTTTTGTTACATATTTTTGTAGTTGACGTTGAGACATTTTCAAAAAGGCATAAGAAAGCTTAATTCCGTTAAGTGCTTTTCGAGTTATCGGTTGACAAAATATTAAATACCGCTGGCATTAACGTTTTATGTAAAATGTACCACGTTGAGAGTTTTGTCGGTCGAATTTATATCTCCTTTGTATACGTACAATGCTGACTTCACACGAGTGAATGTTGAGTGAAGTATATTAGATTTGGTCTCCGGGTTTGAACTGCGTGGATTTTTCTTTGTCTAATTCCGACATTTCAGTCTGCTTCATAAGAGAGGAACGATCCGATGTTTCAAAGTATGCTGAATTTGTTTGTGTATGTAATTTAGATAGTAATGTGATCGTGAAAAAAACTAAGTGTTCTCCGAATGTTTTTTATTTGACATAATTACGTTTGTTGTATTCTATAGATTTGTATTCTATAGACAAATTTTAGGAGGCTTGTTAGGCTCGGCGATACTGAAAGACGGAAATCCATTGACACTGCACTTTGTGATGTTTATACCGGCTATCATGGGACAGGGCACCTCCGATCAGCAAGGTTACTGGATATCCCGGGCTTGGAGTTGCAACATCATTGGTACTTACGCTCAGGTATGAATGTGCTCGCTTGAAATAAAAGTTCATCAACATTAAGCCCACTTCAGCAGTTAAATTTAACATTTCGTGTGTCCCAAATCACCCACTTTCATTTATGTAAATTTAACTAAACAAATGTGGTAAAAAGTAACACGCATATAATATGTAAAAAATTAATACAAGAATTTAACACTTGAATACCGTCAGGAATCACAGTTTGTGTTAAATTGACATATGCATAATGTTAAATTAATTAAATAAAACGTTACTTTAACATTTGAAAGAAGTATTAATCTACAGTTTTAATGGAATGAAAATGTTAAATTGATATAATCTATGTTTGACATATTAAATATGTCAATTTAACACAACCTGTGATTCCTAACGGTATTCAAATGTTAAATTCTTGTGTTAATTTTTTCCATATTATGCGTGTTACTTTTTAACACATTTGTTTTGTGTTAAATTTACACATAAATGAGAGTGGATGATTTGGGACACATAAAATGTGTTAAATTTAACACATCAGTTTTTACAGTGCACGCATACACACGCACGCGCGCGTATATATGTAAATATTTTTTTTTATATTTTGTATATATTATATGTAACTTTATTTTATATATATAATAATTATATATATATATATATTTATTTATTTTATATACTTTACTATATATATGCGTGTGTATGTATGTTTCTAGACGGAACTTGGTCACGGGACGTTTATCAGAGGTTTAGAGACTACGGCGACTTACGATCCTTCGACCAAAGAGTTTATATTGAACAGCCCTACCTTGACGTCGTACAAGTGGTGGCCTGGTGGTTGTGAGTATATTTTCTCAGTTCGCTTGGCATTAATCCTCGGTGCACCATCGGAGCCCACAAGATACAATTTTAACTCCTATCCCACTAAAAAAATTTAACTTCATTGTTAAGACTTAACATCATTATGCGCTAAGTCTCAATTTAATTAAATATAAATTTAACATAAATCAAATTAAATTACTAAAATAAATAAGTTCAATTAAATGAAAAATCTAAACTAAAAATGATTTTTTTTCTCGAATATTTTTTAATAGTTTTTGTTTGTCAAGTAAACAGTTCTATCTGTAAACTAGATTTGAGGCTTTCACGGCCATTGATACAATGTCTAGGTATAGCTTCCGGAATGGAGCCGTGTCTTGAATCAGCGATATGCCGGAAGCTATACCTAGACATAGTTCTATCTGTAAAGTTTCATATTTCATGATTTGTGTTTCATTTCGTTTTTTTTTTTAAAGATCTCTGTCCCGAGCAACACGGAAAACTCATGTATTATTTTTAATAAAATGAAACTCATTTTCATTAAAATTATCATATAATTGATTGTAACCCCAATTAACATTAATCCGGGTTAAAAGCTCATCTCACACTCGGCTTATTCGGAGAAAATGTGTGCTTGCAGTGGGCCAGACGGCGAATTATGCGGTGGTCGTGGCGCAGTTGTACACGAAGGGAGAATGCAGGGGCATCCATCCCTTCATTGTACAGCTCAGGCAAGAGGATACTCACGAGCCTTTGCCAGGTACGCGAACTGCTATCAGCACGAATGTCGTTTGCGCGCGAGACGAGAAAAATTACGGTGAAAAGAGATTTACTTTTACTTTCAGGCATTAAGATCGGCGAGATCGGCACCAAGCTAGGAATGAACGCCACCAACAACGGCTTTCTCGGCTTCGAGAACGTCAGAATACCGCGCGAGAACATGCTGATGAAGAACTCCAAGGTAACGGAGAAAGTGAAGAGACGCGGAATCGCGTGATCGTTCTCGTACGGACGGGGACAGGTCTTGTGAGCGATCGTACGAGTTTTTCCTCTTATCTTATTACTATTTCATTTCTTTCAGGTGCTCGAGGACGGGACGTACGTGAAAGCGCCCAGCGACAAACTCACGTACGGCACGATGATGTTCGTCCGAGTTGTGTTGGTGCGCGATATCGCCAGCTATTTATCGAAGGCTGCGACGATAGCAGTCAGATACAGCGCGGTGAGACGGCAGAGCCAAATAAAGCCCGAGTACGTAAGGAAGCTGGTATTTGAGGAAAGAGAAATAACAAAATTGAGCAACCTGGAATTCATTCACTTTCAGCAGCGAATTCGGTGCTGCCTCGCGTATAGTAATTGCACGCATTGGAATTCTAATTGCGGCAATTGATTCCCACTTAAGCCTGGCTCTTCTCGACGTCAAAAAATAAAGATGCTAGTCATCCTTATTTATGACGTCAAAAGCGAGAAAATACACGCTCCAAGAATTCTTGGAGAACATGTAGTAAAAACATATAATAAAAGATGTATTTGTAAAATGACTTTTGCAATCGATCGAGCAGATACGTGAAATAGTCCGAGTACTTGCTTTTTATTCAAATAGTCAATAAATAATTGTAAAATAAACGTAACGAGGTCATGAATAAAGGTAGATTGCAAATCACTAATTAATATCATTAATTTTATGGTAATACAGATGTGTGTGATCGATTGCAAGTGTTATTGTCGATATATTTTTTTATTTCAACGTATTTTATAAGAATTTTTACGTATATTTTCTCTGATGTCGTTGATATTGATATATTATCAATAAATTAGAGAGAGAG